CCTGCTTTAATAGGGCCTTTACAAATTGGCCACCAAGATGCATTACAGTGGGGTGGAGGAGGGAATCTCTTACAGACTTGTGGGCAATGATCAGTTGGACCATTTTTACCCCATCACAATTACCCAGGTAGGGGCAGAAATTCTCAGTATGCACACAAGAGCATCAGCATGGGGTAGCAGAGACGTGGACCATCTCGAGGTCCCCCAAGGAGCCAGCTGAGAAACACTGCCTTAGCATACCCAAGACGACACTACAGCACCCCCACTGTTCACAACTGCTGCCGGCTATGTGGTACATCAGCGAGGTCTGTATAACCGTTTCTCACAGAGCATCTTAATCTCTGCTTACTGGACCTGGAAGCCCTACATCTGTGGAACAAGTGTTTTGTCCCTCGTGCAAAGTGACGTTTGCTTTCTGTATACAGAGTCAATGGGTCTGACACAATATGTATAGCTGGCTGCAGTATGTGGTATAAATTAGCATCTTTCTTTTAGCATTATCAGTGTCGACACCAAATGCTCATTACGCAAATTAAAACAGGCAATCTGTCACATCAGCTTAAGAAAATGTGACCTGAGCCGACAACAGGGTTCCCTCTGCCGTGAGTGAAATTGTAAATTATGCATACGAATACTGTAATTAAAAATGTGACTACAGTAAGGCATCTCTGTACAGTCATACATTATGTTATAGCTGAAATTCTGGCTAAAATAAAAGAGGAGAGATTAATATTCAGAAAATTACCTATAAAAAGTAAAGTTTACATCACAAATAAGCCCAGAGGTTCACGTCAGCCAATAAAAACCAATCTTACTAGATGAGCCAATAAGGGACCAGTTAACTACCATGCATCATTTACCTTTGGGCGGCCACAGTTTTGGCTGCCATTCATGCTTCGGCCTCGCTTGGAGTTCAGTGACCCGGTCGTTATACCGAGTGCGGTCTTCGGTCACGGTCCGGTATGCCTGTCGTGGGGCGGAGGGAGTTCATGTGGAAAAGGGCAGCCACACTGCAGACTGAGACCAGCCAGCGAGGAGGCGGCCATTACTCACATAGGCCAGGCCCGCAGTGAGGGAGACGCCACACAGCGCGAAGTACACAAAGTTCTCACCGCTGCCCCCTGGCACGCCGGAGGACATGGGTCTTCGGGGAACAACTGTGAGGAGACGAGAGCGGTTCAGCAGTTTCAGGGACCACCAGAGGAATACCTTTACATTCAGAGTCTTGGCACACTTAAGGAGAACATTTCCTGAATAAGATCATTGCTTACATTTATGATAAGGTACATTTATGCTGAAATCTGCCAGCAATTACCTTCCAGCTCATTCTAGGTGGGTGGAAAAACGTCTGTGTGAAACACCAGAGATAAATACTGTACCTAACAAACAGCTCAGAAATGCTACGATTCCCTGCAAGCGACGACTACAGATCATATGTTGTCCTTGCAAAGTTAATCGACTCACACGTGCTGCACGTTTTCGTGAACGAACTCACTGGCAAAGTTAATCCTGCCCAGTAAAGACAACAAATCTGTCAGAGCAGCCTTAATTCATCCTGATGGACGCGGTGGGCTGTACAGGCCCTGGCCAGACAATGAGGGAGCAGAGGGCATTCTGGGATTATCCCATTTAGCCTTTTGTGTTACATGCTACATTTGATAGGCACATAGAGGTTGACACAAAAAGTTATGAAAGTTGAGGACATAGATATTTTGTCGTTGTAGGTGCAGGTATAATCCCTCGTCAAAAGTAGCACTAATGCCCAAAAGTTTAACCTTGACCATTTAAAACAGAAGAACATTAACATATTTAACACAAGATTGCTTGTTGCTTTTTGTTTGTTTTTCTGGCGAGTACTCAGCGAAATTAATAGACTTTGGAAAATATGGCTAGACATGCAGAAAATGCAGCCGTCGAAGTAGATCAGTTTCGACAAGTAAAATTAAAATCGGTGCCATAATAGTGGTAAAATCAAAGCAAGGAATCGGGCAGAAATGAAGAAACACACCAAGCACTTTGGCACGTGAATGTAGTCAGACTAGCACAATGACTTCATCAGCAAACCCATGTTTCAGTCTTTCTGGCTTTGACGAGGGAATCAATCAATAATGACAAGCTAACGAACTGGAAGAGACTGAGAAATAAAGCACCGAAAGGTTTACTTCCCAAATTAACTCTCCCAGCACAACACAAGTTACACAACGTCCAGAGTACCTGGATTTTACCAGATGGACAAGACATTTCAACACAGTTCATGAACAAAAACAGACATTTAAATTTTTCATACTTTTTAAAAAAAAAGTAATTTGTTGACAATAAATTGAAATATTAATTTTAAGGGAACATTACTCTGCTTACAAATAGCATAACTGCATCCAAAAGGTTTTTGGTGCGCAAATGTCAGTCGTCACTGCATTTCTTAACCAAAGTTACAAGCACAGCTTTCAGCGGCACCTATTCCACTGGATATTTTAACGGCAAGTCAATTCAAATGTTCGCCAACACAGTGAATAGGGCATCTGTTTATAATCACTGCCTGCTGTCCTTCTTCGGGAAAATCTGACATAATTTTAAAAATATTCTGCCCAAAAACCACACAATCAATATGGGTAGGGAACAGCCCAGGATGGGGCGCCAACTCAAATCAGAGATACCCGAGTATGAAATAAAATGATTAATTTCCCTCTCAAGAATTAATCTCTCTCATTCTGCTGAAATGTTTCAGACTAATTTCAGCTGATAAGCAAGTATGTGTTGTATTTAGGATACATGCGTTTTAAGTCCAGAAATACAGGGCGTTGTGAAAATCGTTACAATCCCTCCAGTTTAGGAGCTCAGAGCCGCAGTAGGTCTAATCATCAGATTAATTAAGATGGTAAACATGGGATAATGCAGAGCCATGCAGAATTAGCAACAAGCCATCAAAACCAGGCCTTTAGCAACACGACGGCAGAAGCAAGGCCGACCTTGCAAATTATCCTGCATCAAATGATCGTCAGGTTAGGTGAGCTCCTCAATGTCATAAACATTTAATGATAACCTACTTTCTGATGTAAAGAGTCTCGTATTTCCTGGGGATTGAGCCCCCCTAAGGGTCAAATACTAGAATCTCCTCTCCTCCGGGAAAAGGGAAGAAACCAATGTGCAGTGCCTTGCCTTTTTATGAATTAAACCTGGAAGATACACAACCCATTCCTCACATTAACATTTAGTACTTATCCACAGTGCAGAAAATATTAGATAAGCATGAGTCACCCTCAAATCCATTGGTCCCCAAATTTCCAGCCCGTGAAAACAACTGAGCCAAAAATTGTACATTTCCACAAGTGAAGCTGAGGGTCCCCTAGTATGTACCTATCGCGACATACCGGTTGCGGTTACACTTGAAATGGAATATTCTTTCACGTTTTACTAGTTTATAAATTCTTCTGGAACTCATCTGGCGACCCCCGGTTGGGAATCCCTGCCGTTACCTACACCCAGAGACCACCACACATCAGCCAATTCAGACACATCTCATTCATGCCATCTCTGGCATGGAAGGACAAGCAAAGACTTCAGATCATTTTTGTTTGATAATTACAAATTATGTAATCACCTTTAAGTGCATCCAAGTGAAACAATTTACCACAAAAAAAGTTAAAAATGCAATTATTATACTGAGGTGTACAACAAGTAATGCCATTCGGAGATCTGCGAGTTAATCTGTAACAGTCAAGGGGGAAAAACGAGCTATAGACTGGTAAACATAGGTTTATTCTGGTCAGCATTAAAATATGCGCGTATGGTCACTTTTGAACGCCGAATTTGACTGTCAATATAATAGATAAAATTGAAAGAAAGAAATCATTTCAGAAAAAGTTACTCAGGCTTTGAAAGTGGTTATGTGACACATTCCCGTACAGATCCTAAGCACTATACCAGAAACTATGCGAGTGCAAGCGACTCACAACTTGACCTTCACGTCTCCTTTACTAAACAAAACGCGTTTAGTATAACATTATACTTTGTGTAATAAAGTGTAACAACAGCGAATAACACTGTTACCATGCATTTTTAAAAGCATGCATTTACACTGCACTCGCATGTATGCTTTATGGAACTAAAAAATGGTTGATCCGTTTTTAAAATAAAAAAAAATGCGTCGCCAACAAAAAAACAGACATTTACCATTTCTACAGAAACCCGCCGGGGACTTGCGTGCCAAAGGGAGCAGGGTCAGGCGAGCCGATCTGCAGAGGAACATCGCGGCCGGCTTGCTGGAGGCTCTCTGCGGCGTGGAGCTGCGCGAAGGGCGCCGATCAGGGGCTTAAATGAATGACCGTCTGCCAAGCTGGGAATAGAGGGAGGAGGTGATTTCTTTAACGTCACACTGCAGGGAAAAGGTCGAGCAAACACATGGTGAACGTGTACCATCGTGACTATCTACTGAAAACCTACAGGTTATTACAGGTATAGATGTGTTCATGCCAACCGCCGCCTTGTAAAGGTACCTGTTGTAACAAGAAAGATGCAATTCTCAAAAATGGCCTTCAAAAATAAACACCATTCGAATTATATAATTGTTGGTTAAATCAGTTAATCATTCGAATTAACTGTGGAATTACTCTGTTTGATAGCACAAGAAAATTTAAGCAATACGTATGTGTATATGTTATAATAGCATCAGATAAATTACTTTTTATGTCGTTTACATGCAGGATCAAAAGTCTGAAGTTGTAGATTAATAAAATCACTATATTATATACACTGCTGGGCGAAAATGTTGTGCAATTCGGGATTGGGCCATTTTTTCCCATGCAGGAGAGTATATATATTATATATTTTCACTGTGTATTTTGTATATCATTATTACTTGATGAATTGTGGACGTCAGTTCGTCTGGCAAAATAATCTCATCATAGCCAGTCTGAAAGATAACATAAGAAAATTATATTGGTCCCAGGAGAATTTTCGTGCAAACAGCAGCGAAGTGCTCACGAATAAAGTACAGAGCAAAACAAGAGAAAAAGGTTCAAAGACTGCAAATAGTGCGGGCAAACAGTAAAAATGTTTTTGTACACACAGTACAAACAAAAAATCCTAAAATTGGGCAAGAACATAAAGTGGAAATTAAAATAAATTAACGGATGGCGTATGTGCAAAAAGGTAGCGTCAGACTTTTATTATTCCAGAGAAGCTAAGCTGTCAGTTGAATCCCGTCGACAACCGAGCCAACTGAAGCAGAAGTTAGGTGCATTTTAATTTTTAAATGCCCATTTATAAGAGTGGGGGACCCTGAGAAATCTCACGTCATCAACTACCTGACCGCGTCTCTATGATTCAGCCCCGAAATGTTATCGGCGAACTCGCTGCGCCCCTCGGCGTGCCGGAGGCTTTCGGCCTCTTTCGTGACGCGGAGGCCGGCGCGTGCGCAGACGCCAGCTTGACCCGGAGGAGAAGCGCATCGGCCATTTTGGGCAGAAGGGGGCTTTCTCTCACCACGTGAAAAAGGATAGCCCAAAAGGGTGTTTTTTTAGGAAATAGCGACAAGACAAGGGGCTCGAACAAAGGAATAGAGATACACACCGGTCTTATTCACATGTGCTGAGAGGAAGGGAACGCTGGTAATAGGAACAAAATGCCAACTCTGCCGCCTAAGGAGAACGCTCTCTTTAAGAGGATCCTGGTGAGTCGTTAGCTAGCCGCTAGCTTGGCGGCGCGGCTCCCGACAGCTTCCCTCCGCAGTTCTCGCTCCTCCGCCCGGCCCCGGTCCAGGCGGCGCAAAATGCTGACAGCAGCTGCGCAGAATCTCGGCGTGCGGGCCTCTCGCCGGCCGCCGCTGGAGCCCATCCCCGCGGTGCTGCGAGCTGGCCTAACGTGTGGACGCCTTTGGCCCCGTTGAGTCGGGTCCCGTGGCGGCGTTGCTTCCTATCCCCTCTCCCCCTTCGAGGATGTTAGCCTTGCGTAGACCCGGCCGGTGCGAGAAGCGCCGTGGTGGGGGGCCACCCTAAGTCACGCTTTGAGGCCGGCATACGTCCTGTCAAGGCGCCAGGCGCTCCGTAGCTCTGGGCCACGTACTGACGCCCGGTGCTTTCCGTCCTGACCCGCAGCCGGGCTCCCCCACCGTTCTGGCTGGAGTCGCTCTTGAGCGGCGGGTTCCGGGCGCCTGGCCTGCCGGTTAGAGTTTACCGGTACCGGGCGATGACCGAGTGGAGAACAGGCTAATCCGACCTTCGGCGAGCCCACAGCGGGCACGGTAAAGCGGCCGGCGCGCGCTGCGCTCGTGTGACTGGACCGCACTGTTACTTTGCTAGTCGCTTTGCTCTATTTTTATTAGCTGCTGTTTTAGCATTTGTTTGGATAATTTGGTGCTGCCTCCCGGGCCTGCTTTTTTGCATGCTAAATCATGCCGTTTTAAAGATTGATTGCTTGTAAGTGTCGGGCGGACCGAAGTCGAGTCTTGTCGATTAAACAGCCTGCAACTGAACTGGATGATGAGGATTCTTATTAATAATAAAAGTACTGCGCCCGACAGTGATGACCCTTGTAAATCTGACTCATTTTTATTAATTCTGACTATCACTGAAACAATTTCCTAGCATAAATGCAGGATTTATTCCCGCATGGTCGGAATGAACGCTGCAACAGACACAGCGCAGTGTAAAGTCGTTTTGTTGTACCAGGATTGTACGGTTTTATAGCTATTTAATCAGACTCCTGTTTGGGGGCGCGTGTAAATGCACTGATCTGCTTGCGTATTACTCTTTTCCCATTGGTAGTGTTGGAAACGCACTTAAGCGCTTCTGTTTAGGAGACTTTCCTTAGGGCAGGACCCCTCTGAATTAAAAATGGCAACAGCCTGGTCACAAGTCCAGTTCCTGAAACTCTACACCTCGGAGCTGCTCTGACAGTGATGAGGTGCAGTGCTGTTAACCAGTCCCACCCCATAACTGTCCCCTTCTTAAACTCGGTGACACAGCTGGTCCGATCACCAGGCCCAGCGCAGTTGTGTGGGACCGACTGGTTCTGGTTTATGACTGAAACCCATGTGTGCTGTCATTTTCTAACATTCAGACCAGCTGTTCATTAGAAGCTGTGTATTTTGTTTACGGAGTAGAAATAAATTGAATTATTTGTTGCATTTTGGTGTTTGATTTGTCCTGAAGAAGTAGTCTAGCAGTGGGGATTTGAGACATTTACCACAGTGCGCTTTCAAACCGCTTAGTAAGGCAGAGTATATCGGAGACTCCTAGTTTAGTTGCTGTAGAGTGAGATAAAGCAGTGAAGGGTTCCTCTTGTTCCTGTTGCTTTTTGGGCCATTTTGCGGTCTCTTAAATGGCAGCACTAAATGTCAGTCTAGTGGGCCTCCAAATGAATTGTACCTGATCAGATGTTCCCAGTAACTAGCAGTAATGTGATGCCACAGAAAAGTGTGGCTTGTGACTCATTTACAACTCATACTCCTAAGCAAATGGGTCGGTATAAGTTACTGTGTGGAGTAGAGCAGAACTGGGTTCTAGGGCTGCGTTCCAGGTGCATTCTGGGATGCAGGACATTGTTTCTGTTTAATCGATTCATCTTGCTGCTTTGGAGATGGATGGGCTAGTAATGTGGAGTACTAGGGTGGTGGCTGTTTAATCGGTTTGTATACTGAGCTTGTATTAAGTTATGAATGAAATATTGCAGAAACTTGAAATATCGGGTAAAAAGATGCTCATTTATGTAAGCTTTGTTGTTTGGGGTAGTATTGGCTTGTGTGATATTGGTAACCGTTACTGGGACCTCTCGTAGCTGCCTTGCATTCAAAACGATCGCTCGTCATGTAAGTATGAAGGACCCCGAAGCTAGACTAACAGCTTCTGAGGAATGTGATTGGAAATCAATTTCAGAGTGTTTTAGTCCTGCTAACTTGGATGCTTTTAATGCAAGAATTTTGATTTGCAGCCGGCAGGGTTGTCTAAAAAAAAAAAAAAAAAAAAAAATCCAGATAGAGAAGGTTTAATGGCAGCATGTAATTAATGGGATGTTTGGCTGGTATCATGGCAACCGCCATTCTGTAATTAACCTAAGGGTTTAATTTTAAATAAGTGTTGGGTTTCTGATCTATCTCTACAGGTTGTTAATGGGTTGGAAATACAATGAAAACCTGATGAATCCTCTGCCCCCACCCCCACCCCCCCTCCCAGATATGCTTAATTTGCATTGTTCCCAAAGCTGTTTCGGTAATTTGATGAACTGTGCTTTTGCAGAGATGCTACGAACACAAGCAGTACAGAAATGGCCTGAAATTCTGCAAACAGATCCTCTCTAACCCTAAGTTCGCCGAACATGGAGGTAAGGCGAGTCCCGATAGCGGTTTTAATTTGTGGTTCTGTTTAGCTTTCTGCTTGCTGGCTGATAGCCTCATCTCCACTGTTTAAGGGAAATGGTCTTCCTGTCTCAGATTTATCAGGGAGTCCCATATGCCGGCGGTGGTTTTCACTGCCTCTGCACAGGCGTTTCCTCACACACTCTCTCTGTCTCTCTAACCAGAAACATTAGCGATGAAGGGACTGACGCTGAACTGCTTGGGAAAGAAGGACGAAGCGTACGACCTGGTCCGGCGGGGTCTGCGCAACGACCTCAAGAGTCATGTCTGTATCCTTTTGCGGTCTTTTGCCCCCGGGGCGGGGGGGGGGTGATGAGGAGCAGGTAGCTGGCAGCCCAGCAAGTGAAGCCCTCCTCTATTTATCCCGGGAACGTCGTTGACTCCCATAAATTCAGGAGGAACAATTGCGCAAATGTTACAAGTACCTGCTGAGCCAGTTCCAGGGTAACAGCAAGTCCAATATGGCTGATATAGTGTGAGCTGTGAGGCCTCGGCAGCCCTTATTTCCATGACCCCCCCCCCCCCCCCGATCCGGCGTGCACACACGTGTCCGTGCTCCTTAACGGCTTCACTCCCAAGGCTGGCACGTGTACGGCTTGCTTCAGAGGTCAGACAAGAAGTACGACGAGGCCATCAAATGCTACAGAAATGCACTGAAGTGGGACAAGGACAATCTCCAGATCCTGAGGGACCTGTCGCTGCTGCAGATCCAGATGCGGGACCTGGAGGGCTACAGGGTGAGTGCAGCCGCCGCTCGTAGCTGCTCCCGGCTCCGCCGGCTGCTTTACTGTATGCATACGTCTAACATATCATCACAGGGTTTTCGAATTAAGTTCTGTGTTTAGTTTTACTATTGACTGATGCACAAGAGTGATTCAGTCTAACCTTATAAAATCATGGAACTCTGAATCTCTGGTTTGATGGTAACAATGTGTACTCACTAATGAGTGGGATCCAAAACGATTTTGTTGGCCAACCTTAATATGTTAGTGTGGTAAACTGATTCATAGTCTCTCAAGTGGTTGACGAACACACTTTGAGCATATTTTAAATTTGGTGAAACAGATGTGACCTTAAGGTAGTGGACAAACATTTGTTCCCTGTACTATTGCAATACTGTAGAACACTAATTATCAGAGACGTGAAAAACAAAAGAATTTGTCTCCTCGCCCACTGTTGTGCTGCGTCTGACTCAGAGAGCGCGGTGAGAAATGCAGGCCTTTGACCGCGCTGCTCGCCTGCTCCCTACAGGAAACCAGGTACCAGCTGCTTCAGCTCAGGCCTGCTCAGCGGGCCTCGTGGATTGGCTATGCAATAGCATATCACCTGCTGGAGGACTACGAGATGGCCGCGAAGATCATAGAGGAATTCCGCAAGACGCAACAGGTGACGCCGAATGCTTGGTCAAGCTTCAGTCTGTCCCAACAACGCATGGGAGAGTTTTCCCAGTGGCGCTGAGAGCATCGATGCCCGTTCTGATTGCATTTCTTCCTCCCCAGACTTCTCCGGATAAGGTAGACTACGAGTATAGTGAGCTTCTGCTGTACCAGAACCAGGTCCTCAGAGAAGCAGGACTGCACAAAGAAGCCCTCGAGCACCTCGCCACATACGAGAAGCAGATTTGTGACAAGTTGGCCGTCGACGAGATGAAAGGTTCGTACCGGGGAGGAGGGGGGGGGTTGAGGAGGAGTTGTGTCTGCTTGTGATCATCGTGAAACAAAGATTCTGTCTGGCGTTAACTACACTGTCCGCTCCGCAGGGGATCTGCTGATCCAACTGGACCGTCTGGACGAGGCTACTGAGGTATACCGACAGCTGCTGGAAAGGAACCCCGAGAACTGGTCCTACTATCGCGGCTTGGAGAAGGCACTAAAACCGGGTACGTCTGGAACGGTCTGCTCGCCGGAGACGCTGGGAAGGCGTCATGTTATGGGTCCTCTCAGGTCAGGTGTCAGGAAAAGCTCTCCTTAAGAGCTTGGTCATTGTCCCCGACCCCCGTGACAGCCGTGACCACACAGCCGGGGGCTCTAATAGGTGCCACCGGGATGCACAGGTGTTTGGGTTCAGAAAAGGGGAAAATTTGCTGAATATGTACAGAGGAGTGTCTGGGTCTGTTTGGCGACGTGTAGGACAGTTACGGCGCATATAGGCAGTTCTTGAGTGGCGTAAGTATTCCGTTCCACAAACCTTTACGTAAGTCAAACTTTCAAGGCACCTTATAGCAAAAAAAAAGAAAAAAAACGCGTCCAAAAATATACTTGTAATGTGTACTAATGGGCACATTAAATACTTGAAAGGATTAAATACTTGAAAGGATTAAATTGCCTTTTTTGGTAGCGTTTGTTAGGTCGGTTTAACGTAAATTCCAAGCGGCCCGTACATACATCACATCCTTCCGCCAGGTGTCATGGTGGGGAGATAAATGCCTGCCTGTGTCTGTCTGGCGACAGCTGGGATGGGGGGCACATATGGCCACATCCCATAATGCCTCATCCGTGCGGCCCACAAGGCACGAGGCCCCAGATTTAGCTTTCGACGTATATGTTCTGCAGCATGGCGATGGCCGTGTGAAAATGACCCCCCCCCCTGTCTTTGCAGCCAGTGTCGAGGAGAAACAAAAAATGTATGAAGACACATGGGATAAATACCCCAAAGCACTAGTGCCAAGAAGACTTCCGCTCAACTTCCTAGCAGGTCGGTGTGGTTTCTCATTCAGCTGGGCTGGTTCTGCTCGTAGCTCATTTTGTGGCCTCGTAACTGAACAAATATGTGGATGGTTGTAACTTAAATGAGCAGTAAAGTTTCATATTCATTTATACTAATCTGTTGCACTTGCCGGTTCTGTATGTCTGTGCATTTTAAATTTCCAGTGTGCATTGTCTGTAAAGGTGTGACCTTATTTTTGATTCGACTGCTGTTGTTCTTAATTGCACTGTCAGTAATGTTGCATAATGCCAGTTGTTGTGTAAATGGTGGTAACTGCATTTACAGTGGTATTAGTCACAGATGTTTGGGATATACACTAGTTATCAACATATGTTGTTTTTTTCCTTCTTAGGTGAAAAGTTTAGGGAATGTTTGGACCGATATCTAAGAATGAACTTCAGTAAGGGCTGTCCTCCTGTTTTCACCACACTGAAGTCCCTTTATAAAGACAAGGATAAGGTTAGAGGCTCTCATCATGTTCTCATAATGAAGATTCCGGAACTGTCTTCCTCGTTCCTCCGTAGGGGCTTCTGTCATATTAATAGGCCACTGGCTGTGTTAATATTCTGTTGTAACGTGGACACTTGACACTAAATCTCTCCAATAATGTTTGGTTCAATTAAGCAAAGACAGATTGCATATCTTTGGATGCGTATTTAACTTAACTGCCCAGGTAACCGGCGTCTCCTTTGTTCCTGCAGGTGTCAATAATCGAAGAATTAGTTGTTGGTTATGAAACATCTTTAAATAGCTGCCGTATGTTCAGTCAGGATGGTAAGTGTTTCCACACAGTCTAAACCAGACTTTCCCAACCTGGTCATGGGGACCCCTGGACAAATCGTCTCGATTCTACTGGGAGGGAGCAAAAATGTGGACCGTCTTGGGATCCCCGAGGACCGGGTTGAGAAACACTGGCTGTAACACTGTCTAGACCAGTGCTGATTATGACTCCATGAAAGTACGTCGCTGTGTCCGGTGGCTTTTAAGTGGATGTAATAAACGTGAATTCATTCCGCTGTCGGGTTCACCTCTCCATTATAGCAGCATCTGTGAACGTCTTGAGACGAGTCTCTCTGCTCCTTTCCCCTTTCAGACGACGGGAAGGAGGAGCCACCCACCACGCTGCTTTGGGTTCAGTACTTTCTGGCTCAGCACTACGACCAGATCGGCCAGCAGAGTTCGGCCCTGGAGTATATTAACACCGCCATCGATAGCACGCCCACGCTCATTGAGCTCTTCCTCATCAAAGCCAAAATCTACAAGGTAGGAGCGCCTGCACAGGCCTCGTGCTCCTGCATAACGTCCCCGTCACTCGCCCCCGTCACTGTCCGGATGGGCACTGTGAGTGCATGTGTCTACGTGCTATGGGGGGTAATCGCTCATGGCGATTCTCTTACACTCTGCCCTCTACGAACCAGTAACAGCTCTTCAAGGAATTCAGCTAGGCATTGACACGTAGAAGCTGTCAGTTACTTCTGGGTCAGGGCTAAGTAGCTGGACGTCTAGGTCCCGCCCCTGAGCCACATCGGTACTGTGAAGACAACATCCCGCTCTCTCTCTCTCTCTTGCTTTGATCACAGCACGCCGGTAACATCCGTGAGGCCGTGCGGTGGATGGACGAGGCCCAGGCTCTGGACACGGCCGACCGCTTCATCAACTCCAAGTGCGCCAAGTACATGCTGAAGGCGGGCATGGTGAAGGAGGCAGAGGAAATGTGCTCCAAGTTCACGCGGGTGAGGGGGCGTTACTCTGGGGGGAGAGGCAGGTCCTCGTAGAGAAGGTCCAGCGTTGGGTCTCTTCAGCGATTATTAAGGCAGAGAACTTTTAATCTCTTCTAGCCGGTAAAATAGAGTTTTCTGGTATTTTGTGACTGCAAAAATAATCCATATTAGCCAGTATTAAATGTCAACCTAGTCCTGAAATGACAAAGGAGCGGCACTCGAAATTTCAGGTTCAGGAAGTAAAAATCCAGACCAAGATTTTGTTTCAGCCAACCAGTTGAGTATAAAGTCACATTCACAGAGTACTCAACTGGTTGGTTGAAACAAAATCTTGGTCTGGATTTTTGCTTCCTGGACTTGAAATTTCTACCTCCGCAAAGGAACCCTCCTGTCTGAAAGGGCGAGTTAAATGCTGTAATTGAACATTTCCCCGCAGGAGGGCGCATCTGCCGTGGAGAACCTGAATGAGATGCAGTGCATGTGGTTCCAGACTGAGTGTGCGCTGGCCTACAAGGCCATGAACAAGTACGGCGAGGCGCTCAAGAAGTGCCACGAGATCGAGAGGGTAGGCAGTCGCCACACAGTCTAGACCAGTGTCTCCCAACACGGTCCTCGGGAACCCCGAGGACCCGCCATCACACGGACCTTTCCCAAACTCTCCAATTCTGCCCGCCCAGCACTTCGTGGAGATCACGGATGACCAGTTTGACTTCCACACATACTGCATGAGGAAGATGACCCTACGCTCCTATGTGGACCTGCTGAAGCTGGAGGACGTGCTCCGCATGCACCCATTTTACTACAAGGCCTCGCGGACGGCCATCGAGATTTACATCGCCCTGCACGACCACCCGCTGACCGACGAGAACAAGGAGCTGGCAGCCGACACAGGTGTGTGTCTGCGGAGGTCGGGGATGGGGCTGGACCGGGTCTTGTTACCTGATGGACTAACCAGTGTCTCTCTCTCTCCAGCGAACCTTTCGGACAAGGAGCTCAAGAAGATGCGGAACAAGCAGAGGCGAGCGCAGAAGAAGGCGCAGCTGGAGGAGGAGAAGAAGAACGCGGAGAAGGAGAAACAGCTGAAGAACCAGAAGAAGAAGAAGGAGGACGACGACGAGGAGATCGGCGGCCCCAAGGAGGAGCTCATCCCTGAGAAACTGGCTAGGGTGTGCTTGGGGACACTGGCAGAGTGCTGGGGGGGGGGACACTGGTTAAGCTGCAGAGCTTTGCTGAAGTTGTGTGTTCTCTGACAAAACAGGTAGACAATCCACTGGAGGAAGCAGTGAAGTTCCTTACTCCGCTGAAAACTCTGGTGAAGAATAAAATAGAGACGCATCTCCTGGCATTTGAGATCTACTTCAGAAAAGGTGAGTGGCTAGCATTTGGGGGGTAGGGGGGTCGTCACCAAAACAATACGAGTCTTAGGCCAAAGTGGGAGGGAGTTTCACAGACTAAAATAACTGATTATGATCTCCATTCGGTTGAAGGAACAATCCGATACGGACAAGGTGTGGTAACTTGAGCATGGTATCAATTTGTGCCCCGCAGAGAAGTTCCTGTTGATGTTGCAGTCCGTGAAAAGAGCTTTCTCCATCGATAAAGACCATCCGTGGCTCCACCAGTGTGTCGTCCGCTTCTTCAAAGCAGGTAGGCCTTTGTACCGCCACCCCCCCTGCGGCTCTGGGTCCGCATGGCGGTCAGCTGGTTCACCGCTGCTCTCCGCTTGCAGTTTCTGAGAGCAAGGGTCTGGCGGTGCCGGTGAGCACCGTGCTGAAGCGGGAGATCTCCCAGCTGTTCGGCGAGAGCAACCCCAAGCGTTTCAACGAGGCGTCCCTCAACAAGCACTCTGACTCCATCTCACACAGGCTGGCAGGTCTTTGGATCGTCTTCCACACTTTTCTGGTCTTTCTCGTCAGCCAGTCAAGAGCCTTGGCTCTAAAACGGCAAATTCTCCCACACAGCTGCCAAAATGATGTTCTACCTGGACTCGTCGACGGAGAAGAAGGCCATCGAGCTGGCCATCGCCCTGGACGAGTCGCTCAGCAACCGGACCATTCAGGTACAGCATCCATACCTTGTATAGATGGACCCTCAACACCACTCGAACTATGCTTAAGGCAGGAGGTGTATCAGTGGGTTAGTGTGTGTGATGTCACCATTAGGTCCCTGAACAAGGCCCTTGACCCCCAGTTGATCCAGGGATTGGCTGACTCTGCCTTATCTGTAAGCCACTTTGGATAAAATAATGTGCAATAAATGATGCCCAGACAAACGCAGGGGTATCGGAATCCTGTGTGGAGACTCGGTGGCACGCGAACTTGCCCTTGTGGCTTTCAGGTTGTGGCTCCTGCTCCTCCTTCGCCTCCGAGGTATTTTAGCTTCCCGGCCCGCCCCCACTTCCTGTCCGTCTCCCCTCCCCTTGCAGATCTGCACGGACGTGCTGGCGAACCTCCGCGATGGCAGCCTGGGTGACGGCAAGCCGGTGGCGGAGGCCTACAGGACGGACTGTCACAAGATCTTCCCTTACGCCCTGGCCTTCATGCCGCCCGGCTACGAGGAGAACATGAAGATCGCCGTGAATGGCGACGCGTGCGGAGAGCCCGAGGAGCTGGCCAATGATATGTGAGGGGGAGGCGGGGAGGGTGCGGAGCAGGGCGGCGGTGGTGGTGGTGAGAGGGGGGGTGGCTGGGGCAAGGTGACTGCGGTTCGAGTTCCTCGGTGGCTGGGGAGGGGTCATTGTCACACATCCTCTGCGAGGCTGCGATCTGGACTGGACGCGATGGCATTGTATTCGAGAAGAGAGAGACAATAAAATGGCCATTTTACTTTTTTTTTTAAAAAGGAGAAAAAAAACTCAATGACTACTCTCTAACTAAAAATAAACTGTGTAAACAGAAGGAACAGGTGTGCAGGCAATGAGCAGGTTTTTCTGATGGAGTCGACCCAGGTTTCTTTTGTCAAGCATGGTAGTACATATATGCTTCCCATATTTTTAATGTTATTTAATTTATAAAAGAGTTGTATAAAAAAGAAAAAAAAAGAGGTAATGGTTCTGACAGCAGTGCGGGTCCGTGCCAAAACAGAAACACTGAACTCAGGGCATAGCATTGAAATGGAGATGGATTGTACCTGGGGAAGGAGATTCACACCACGCTGGATCCATGGTGCGGTTCGGCGTGATACGGACACCTTGAAGAGAAGGACGTCTCCCGGGAGACTGAGGTCAAAGGTTACCTGGAGTGCAGCAAGGTTGACAACTGTGTGCGCTTGAATTTTTTTTTTTTTCCTTCACCCCCCCACACCCCCTTTTCTTCGAAATGTGAAGGGTGGGCCACTGTAAAACAAAGCTGCATCTTTGTAAAGAAATAAATTTTTTTTTTTGTCGCCGTATGGTGAGGTTCTACCCTCTCGGTTACCCTAAGGCCCATGCGGATCGCTGCCGTGGTTCTACCCTCTCGGTTACCCTAAGGCCCATGCGGATCGCTGCCGTGGTTCTACCCTCTCGGTTACCCTAAGGCCCATGCGGA